GGAACCATCAGAGAACAGACATTAAACCATCAGGAACCCAGCAGGAACCCAGAGAACAGACATTAAACCATCAGGAACCTCAGAGAACAGACATTAAACCATCAGGAACCATCAGAGAACAGACATTAAACCATCAGGAACCATCAGAGAACAGACATTAAACCAGCAGGAACCATCAGAGAACAGACATTAAACCATCAGGAACCTCAGAGAACAGACATTAAACCATCAGGAACCATCAGAGAACAGACATTAAACCAGCAGGAACCATCAGAGAACAGACATTAAACCATCAGGAACCCAGAGAACAGACATTAAACCAGCAGGAACCTAGAGAACAGACATTAAACCAGTAGGAACCATCAGAGAACAGACATTAAACCATCAGGAACCAAGAGAACAGACATTAAACCATCAGGAACCAAGAGAACAGACATTAAACCATCAGGAACCAAGAGAACAGACATTAAACCAGTAGGAACCTGTGGAGGTATTGAGAGTAACGATGGTTCTATAAGAGGTAGAGCTTAACCCTGGACGGGTTATTTATCGTCCACAGTGACCTTCAGCTGCCATCCCTGAACCTGCTGACCCCCCCCAGTATATTTGATATACTCAGTATTTACACGTATGCGTGGTAGATGAAGGCCCATCCTCTCGGCCTCTCCAGAACATTGTAGAGGAAGTTCTGCAGACGGCGATACAGAGCGTTTCTCTTTGGAGGTTTCTTCCCCCCCGACACACTGCTGCGCTGCCGCCGAGGGCCCTCCTCCACACCTGCAGGTACAAATATATACATATATATATATATATATATATATATATATATATATATATACACACATTAACACCTGCACAGGTAGAATTATATAATATATATATATATACACACTAACCCTGCACAGGTAGAAATACACATTAAACATCAAATCAAAGTGTATTTATAAAGCCCAGTATCACAAAACACGTCTGTCTGGGCTGTCCAGAATAACTAACACACATGAGCGTGTAAAATACTGTTACAATTACAAGAAAATTATATAAAAAACATGAGAAGCCTGAAATAAAACGAGATAAAAATAAAACGAGATAAAAAGACAAAATTACAGTAAAAAACTATAAAATTAAATACCATAAAATGTAGTACTCAATTATAAGGTAATCTATATACACACTAACAGCTGCACATGTATATGTACACACTAAGATGCATACAAACTAACACATGCATATTTTCATTGTTGAACTTTTATAAGATATAAGGTTTGGAGCCATCAGCCAATCATATTCCAGCTCACTGTGAAGCTCTCTCCATCCCCATTGGTCGAGCTGCTGTTATTTTGTTGTGTTCATCATGATCAGACTGTATAAAGATCACGAAGGTTCTCATGTTTACTGGAGATCTGCAGAGGAACCGCCTCTGGTTCCACGCATTACATATTCAATAAAATACACACTAATTATACTTTCTCTCTCACACACACACGCGCACGCTGTTTACCGGCTATCAGCAGAGCTCCGTCCCTGGACTCGGTCCCCCCGGATTCCAGCCCCACGAAACCGACCTTCAGCTTCTTCTGGTCGGCCTGAGCTCCGGGGAACACCCCGCCGTTCCGGGACTTCTGCACCATGACGGAGCGAGACACCGACCCTCCGGGCTGCCGCCAGCCGAGCAGAGAGCACCGAGGCCGGCCAGCAGGAGAGGAGAGACGGGGGAGGGATGGAGGAGAGACGGAGGAGAGATGGAGGAGAGAAACACCCGCAGAGAGAGAAACACAGATCTGAGATCAGCAGCTTCTCTCCTCACCGACTCCCCCACAAACAGGAAGGGAAATGACGTCACATGAGGTATGGATCAGATACAATACAAAAGAAACGAAAACAAAAAACACCAGATGATCAAAGGAGGAAGATCAGCATCATCATCATCCTTATCCTCATCACCATCATCGTAATAATGATCATCTTCATCATCACATATATATACAGTGGGGCAAAAAAGTATTTAGTCAGCCACCAATTGTGCAAGTTCTCCCACTTAAAAAGATAAGAGGCCTGTCATTTTCTTCCTAAGTACACTTCAACTATGAGAGACAGAATGGGGGGAAAGAATGCAGGAAATCACATTGTAGGATGTATAACGAATGAATTGGTAAATTCCTCGGTAAAATAAGTATTTGGTCACCTACAAACAAACAAGATTTCTGTCTCTCACAGACCTGTAACTTCTTCTTTAAGAGCCTCCTCTGTCCTCCACTTGTTAACTGTATTAATGGAACCTGTTTGAACTCGTTATCAGTATAAAAGACACCTGTCCACAACCTCAAACAGTCACACTCCAAACTCCACTATGGCCAAGACCAAAGAGCTGTCAAAGGACACCAGAAACTAAATGGTAGACCTGCACCAGGCTGGGAAGACTGAATCTGCAATAGGTAAGCAGCTTGGTGTGAAGAAATCAACTGTGGGAGCAATTATTAGAAAATGGAAGACATACAAGACCACTGATAATCTCCCTCGATCTGGGGCTCCACGCAAGATCTCACCCCGTGGGGTCAAAATGAGAAACAAGAACGGTGAGCAAAGATCCCAGAACCACACGGGGGACCTAGTCAATGACCTGCAGAGAGCTGGGACCAAAGTAACAGTGGCGACCATCAGTAACACACTACGCCGCCAGGGACTCAAATCCTGCAGTGCCAGACGTGTCCCCCTGCTTAAGCCAGTACATGTCCAGGCCCGTCTGAAGTTTGCTAGAGAGCATTTAGAATGATCCAGAAGAGGATTGGGAGAATGTCATATGGTCAGATGAAACCAAAATAGAACTTTTTGGTAAAAAATCAACT